GGTTACTTAGGATTTGTCGATTGTTGTGGAATGTGGATGAGTATAACTATGTTCGTCATAAATTGACAATGGCCCCGCATATATTGACAATTTCCTCATACCTTGTTGATAAGTAAAAAATTTTCATGTGGAATAATTTCATTTTAAACTAAAAAAAATAAATATGATATTGAACACTTGATAAAATGTAATGACAACAAGGGAAAGGAAAATATAATACTAACTTACGCATAAGGTATTGACAAGTAAAAATAAAGTTATATGTCGTTTAAATTAACAAAGTAATAGGTAATGATAACTTGGCAAAGGTGAATAACAACTTATACATAGGGTATTGACAGGTAAAAATTTTTGAAATATTTGCCTTTTAAATTAACAATGCAATGAGTAATGACAATATGGCAAAGGAAAATGACAGCTTATACATATTGTAATGACAAGTAAAAAAAATATGAAGTTATTAGCTGTTTAAATTAAGAGGACAATGAGCAATAACAACATGGAAAAAATGAATAACAACTTACACATTGTGCATTGACAAGTAAAAATTAATGACGTTATCCATCATTTAAATTAACAAGGTGACAGATACAGTGACATGGTGAAGAGGAATGACAACTTGTATACTAGATATTGACAAGCAAAAATTTAACAACTTATTTGTCATTTAAATTAACAAGACAATGGGTAATGATAACATGGTAATGGGGAATGACATCTTATGCATAACAAGTAAAAGTTTATGAAGTTATCTGTCATTTAAATTAACAAGGCAACATGTAATGACAATATGACAATGAAAAATGACAATTTCTCATAGATATTGACAGCCAGGCTTACATTAAAATATACAGGTTAAGATGCAAAATGTATACAACTTTATATGCATCTTTTATATAATTATACAATTTTCACAACTTGTCTTAAAAAACTACATGGATTGCATTGATATTTATTAACTCTTGGTAAGTCTACCAACATATACAAAAATTCTATATGCATATATAGATATATATATATATATATATAGGCTACAACTGTATAACAAAAAATTAGACATGTCTCTAACATTAGTCAACATGAATTATGATTCTTGCAAGTCTTGAAATTATAATCAGTCTCATAATATCTTTTTCAATGATAAACCTTTGTATTTGAAAACTGATATTTTCTTTTTTTAATCTTTTGTACTTGTATGGTTGATGACATCATTCTTGTACACTCTTTATATATTGTTACTTTTTATATTGTTTTTGTTCTTACACTCCCCACATGCTATTATACTGCCTTGGGCATTATCTATAAATTGTTTCCCCATATGAAAGAAATATAATATATGTTTTTCACAAGTACTCACCATTTTTCATGCCAACGTGCACTACATGCATCATATTAACAATTCTATACATAGTACATTAACAACTTGCGTATAATTGATTAACAACATATATTGTCATTTCATAATAAGAATTTTTCAACACATAAATCTTGCATACTAGATTCTTCTATACCTATTAGCCAGGCAAAATCAGTGAACGAGCAACCACAACCTAGATATACAAAAAGAGATAAATAGACAAGCTACATCTCATTATTCCAATCACAAACAATAAAACTCCAAATTAAGTTATTAACAGTCACACATGCGCAATTCATATCATCCTAAAGTGCAACAAAACATATGAACATCAACTATTACCAATCTACCTAGCAACAAAGCAGGAATATGCTATGAGATTTATATAGGGAGAGACTAACGTTTTTTTTTTTTTCTTAAATAACCTAAATAGAGCTGAAAGATAGGAAATAGAAATACCACGATAGAGCAACAACTCTTATCGTCTTGTGAAATAGTCAAAAGTTCTAAGTGTTTAAATCAACATAGACTGTCATAACACAAAATTTTCAATCAAACCAATTATATGACACAGGCATGCCTATAATCCTCAGAGTGGGATTGGATGAAGCAAGAATTAAGGTCAAGTATAAAAATCTCATATTTGTTGTCTTTGATCTTCTGCATCACCGTTACCATTGCTAAAGAAAGAGAATCTCTGAGGAAATAAAAAGAGATTTAAATGTTGAATTAAAATAATTGTACCTTCAAATTCAGAAATGCAATTTTCGGTTCCACCATCCAAAATTCTCATAGATGCCTTGAAGTGTGGGATGCTTTGCACAAAAAAGTTGGCCCAAAAGTTACAAAGCCTTTAATAATAAAGACCAGGTGGTGATAACACAGACAATAATCAAATTTGAAAATGGGAGAAGAAGATGAAGAAAATGAGAAATCACATGGCTTCAAATACACAAATGAAGTAACTGGTAGTAAGTTTCAGATTGTGGCAAGGGGAGAGACATAGAGAGCTCCAAATATTGGAAGAAGAAGACTTGGTTTGTCGGAGAACTTCATTTCCTTTTTTTATTTTTTTTTTTTTAAGATCATGGGTAATTCAGTAATTGAGCAATGAAAATTATTCACATAATCGCATCAAAGTCCCATGGGACTTCAAAGCTATTTTTCCATTTCGTTGGACCTCTAAATAATTAGAATTCTTCCGTGGGCTCAATAGTGAACTCCCTTATTTTATCATTTCATAATTGTTATATATTTTTAATTATTATCTTCATTTGTGTTGATATAAGGTAAAAATATGTGTTAATATACGGTTTTTATCAATTTATTTTTTTTAATCAATTTTATTTATGTCCACTAATTCTATTTAACATAGTACAAGGTTAAGATTCTTTTTAATTATTTGAAAAAAATTGAAAAAAAAAGCGTATGAGAAAATTAAAAAATGAGAATTAAAAAACTGAAAAAAATTAACAGTATGCTATAATAATATGAAAATATATTTTTTATCAAATAATTTGACTTTAAATTATTTTAATAATTTTAATTTTGATATAATTTTTTATTTCAAATTATTTGTTAAAAATAATTACAAATGTCGGACACCAAATTCTTCCTAAAATTAATTATAAGCCCCGATAAAACCCTTTCTCGCGCAATAGCGGGTTCAGTTCTCTTTCTTCGACGAACAAGCATCCCATACTCCGTCGGACGCGTTCCACTGTTGTCAGCCCTGCGTAGTTGTTTCTGGGCAAGCAGTGAAAAGGTTCAAATCCTAGGGCCTTTTCTACTCCCACGGTGAGATTGATTTCTTCAATCTGGTGTTCTGAATCTAGATTTGAATATTTCCCCGCGTCATCTGTTCCCGCTGTTCTTGCTTTGTTTTAAACTTTTCATTTTAATTTGGCTTTGAATCTGGTTGTGTAATTGTTGAATATTGACACCTTTGGATTTGGGAATGTTTACATGTTGAGTTTTTTTTTTATTTATTTATTAGTTTTTGCTTGAATGGTGTGTAATTGGCTATTATACTTCTTCCCCTCTTCATTTTGATTACTAGCGACTTGTATGATTTGGATTTTTTTTTTTTTTGTGCAATGTAGGATTTGTTGTGTTTTGGCATTATGTTTATTAATCTTTTTATATTATCATCAAATTTGAAAATTCTCAAGTTTCTTGTGATGTATGATCATGTAAATGACTTGGCTCGAGTTGTGTCAAAGCATCTGCAACAAAAATTAAAAGGACATTATATCAACTATGCATATTTCAAAGATTTCAGTTATAGGTCTGCCTATGAGTGTCCTGCTTGTGTTTTGTCTATAAGTTGAGTGCTCTACTTTAATTTCACAGGAGGTAAATTTCAGGGACTCTGCTTGCAATTCCACTTCTGAAAAGGAGCAGAGACAGGATCGTAGTAATTGCTTCAGGTATGGGATGGTACCCTCTTCCAAAACTTGGTTACTATAATGTAAGACTCAATCATGGAATTTTCAATCTACAATTTTCATTTCAGAAAGAGAAAAAGTTCACTTGTCTTATCACTTCAGGCAAGCAGGGCAATCTACAATTTTCATAACAGTGCTGCAAAGTAATATACTGATAAAGACAAGAACTTGGATATTTTTCCTTCATTGAGTTGATTCTTTTTCCTTCATTGCTTACTCATATACTGATAAAGACAAGAACTTGGACAATTCTCCTTCATTTAGTTGCTGCAAAAAGAGACAGATTCCAACTTTTGATTTTTCATCAAATGAGCCCACAACAGAGCAAATTCTAGACGATAAAGATTCCGTAATACTTCTTGCTGCATGAGTCATTGGGCACATCTTCATATCTTTTAGTGACTCAAATTTAAATTCACAATAAAAGCATTAAAAAATAGCAAGGTTCACTGAGCATTAGTGGCTAAGAAATATCCAGTTGAGCAATGGGCTTTATTTTGACCTTCTCAAGCTCGCCTTTGTCTTTATCTTATTCCTTCTCCTCTATCTTCACATCGCCTCTTCTTCTTCTGTCCGGACTTGCATCCATCTTCTCTCCTACTTCACTTTCTTCATGTTCGTCTGTCTCACCTTCTCAAACTCGCCTATGTCTTCATCTTCTCTCTCCTTTATCTTCAGATGAACCCTACTGTGCGTTTGGAGGGAGGGCTAAATTTGATTATTTTTTCTGGGCGGCAAGTTTTATTTAATATACGTATTTTTAAAAAATTAATGTGGCGCTGACAAAGCTGCCAGCTAGGCAATTTCTAGCACCATTAATTACTGTTAGTGCTGCATAGGATGAGTTGATAGGGACCAAGTTGTGATGAGTTAAAACATAAGGACTAGGTTACAAACTCAGTGAAACTACAAAAGGATTAAATAATTAATTTTTCCTCTATTTAAAATAATATATTATCATTTCAGTTGACATCTATCTACCTCATCCTCAAAAACACTATCCCATACCCTTTCCTAATTGCAGAAACTTCATGTTTGACAGTGACAACGACAAGCTTTGAGAATCAAGATCCATTCTGACTGTTCGACAATGAAGGCGTCGATCCTGCTTCAACAATTGCAACAGTTGAGGCGGTTAAGAAGCTGAGCTTGACCACTTTTTGCCTCTAAACCAATGAAATTCCCCTTTCCAAAATCATTGCTTCTTCAAGATTTTTGGCATGATTTTGGTTCAAAATTCCAACCAATTAATACTGAGCATGTGTGCTATCATTGTGAAGGGTCATTGGAGTAATCTGTTGAAGCTTGAGAAGGCTTCTGCTCTTACTTCTTCCACCATTCACCAGGTACTTGTGCAACTCTCTCTCCATGGCTTTGCTCCATCTCATTCCTTGTCATTCTTCAAATGGGCTGAATCAGTTCCAAATTATAAGCACTCTTTGCATTGTTCATGGTCCATGCTTCATATCCTTGTAAAGCATAAACATTTTAGAACCGCACAAGAGATGCTTGAAAAAATTGCCCGCAGGGATTTTCTTTCATCGCCATCAGTTTTGAGAGCTTTGATTGAAATTCAACATGACCCAGAAGTGAATTCGCATATATTGAGTTGGCTTGTAATACATCTTACAAAATCAAAGATGACCGATGATGCCCTTCAGGTTTTTGAGCAGATGAGGCTATATAAATTGAAACCTCATTTTCATGCCTGTACTGTGCTTTTGAATTCTTTGGTCAAGGATGGGGTTACTAGCATGGTATGGAAGGTTTACAAACAAATGGTTCAAGTTGGTATTATTCCTAATATACATATCTATAATGTGTTAATCCATGCTTGTTCCAAATCAGGAGATGTGGAGAGGGCAGAACATTTACTGAATGAGATGGAAGTGAAGGGTGTGTTTCCTGATATTTTCACTTACAATACTTTGATATCATTATACTGCAAGAGAAGTATGCACTACGAGGCTTTATCTATCCAGGACAGAATGGAAAGAGAGGGAATAAATCTTGACATTGTTAGTTACAATTCTCTTATTTATGGATTTTGTAGAGAGGGTAGGATGAGAGAAGCCATGAGGATATTCAGCAACATCAAAGGTGCAATTCCCAATAATGTTACATACACTACATTGATCGATGGGTATTGTAAAATAAATGACCTTGAGCAAGCTCTGAAATTGCGTGAGATGATGGAGGCTAAGGGATTGTACCCTGGAGTTGTTACTTATAACTCAATTTTGCGTAAGCTATGTCAGGATGGTAGAATAAGAGATGCAAATAAACTTTTGACTGAGATGAGTGAAAGAAAAGTTCAACCTGATAGTGTCACATGTAACACGTTGATAAATGCTTACTGCAAGATAGGAGATATGAAATCTGCATTGAAATTTAAGAACAAGATGTTAGAGGCTGGATTGAAACCTGACCCATTTACATTCAAAGCATTAATTCATGGGTTCTGCAAGATGAAAGAGCTGGAAAGTGCCAAGGAGATGTTGTTTTCCATGCTTGATGCTGGGTTTTCCCCCAATTACTGCGCTTATTCATGGATAGTAGATGGTTACTGCAATAAAGACAATGAAGAGGCAGTTGTTACGCTCCCAGATGAGTTTCTTAGAAGAGGTCTTTGCATTGATGTTTCAATATTCAGGGCATTAATAAGAAGGTTATGTAAGTTAGAAAGGATACCATGTGCTCAGAAGTTATTTAATCTTATGGAAGGGAGAGGTATATCAGGTGACTGCGTTATTTATACAAGTCTTGCTTATGCATATTGGAAATCAGGGAATGCAAAGGTTGCATCAAATATATTCGAAGAGATGACTAGGAGGAGGTTGATGATAACGGGCAAAATCTATAAATGTTTTGGTAATCCTCTTGATAGTGAAAACAAAACTTCATGTTCATTCTGGAATTATGTGGTGGATAGGGGCCTTATGTCAAGAAATACCATGAATAAAGTAAAGAAGATGGAATTATGATGATTAATCATTGTTCACTAGAATTTTCAGAGTTATGTTTTGAAGCTTTTAGAGTGGAAAATGAATTACTGGCCATGATTGCATTTATAGCCTTTCTGTATTTTTCTCTTCATAATTTACTAGAGGGTGGAAGCAATTGGCTGTGAACAGAGTGTCTGATCATTTATTAACTAAATCTGAGGTTAACATATTTATTCGCTAATGGATTAAATTTACTGTATCTTTTTGACATTAAATCACTAGGCATAACTACTTTTCTCTGTAACTTGGGATTCATAGCTAGCAGGTTTATTAAAATTCTTAGACTCTAGATAGATGAAGAATATAAGTCATAGTTTGATGCTTCTTTGTGTTTTGGCCGCTGAATACTGCTGCCTGCTCTTTCATTAATTTGCATAAAAAAAAAAAATCATATTTTCGCTTGCCTGAGTATAGTGTTGAACTACTGAAAATTCTTGTATTTCTTTTTCCCATCACCTTTAAATTAATCATATTGCTGGAAGAGACATTTGCATTACCATTCTCTGTTGTAATGCTGAACTGACGAAAGTTAATATCTGTTGATTCTGTTGGCATTAACTATCCTGATTGCTTGGACCTTAAATGGAAGAGATTTCATGTAATTGACCATAAGTAGAATGTGTAGCCAAAACTAGAAGCATTTTGATGCAAATTTGACCCTCACCCCCAAGACTTAAGAAAATTCGTTTTTCTTTTTAGAAAAATAAAAAGGGCTGGCTATTTATCCACCAAAATTGAATTGAATGAAATTCAGTCTTCTGTCAATTTACATTGTCTCGGGGACCTATTCAGCACCATCTACTACTTCTCATTGCTAAGCTGTTGAGACAGAGTAGAGGAAAATGTCCTAGGATCTATTTGTATGTCTTCAATTTTAATTGGAAAACACCTATAACTGCTAATGGGTTTCTTCTTGCATGCTCTTGCTTTGGTTATTGATGAATTGGTCTTCCTCTTCCTTAACTCTTGATTTCATCAAATGTGGCTTGAGCTTGTTTACATCTGACTGTTGAACAGGTTTCAGAAAAAATTCTTGAGCTCCTTCTTCTAAGCATCTGATTGGAAAAAAAAAAAAAAAAAGGCCATGTCAGATCCAAGATTCAGTCAGTTATAACCTCTAAATTTTTAATTTTGAAATTCTTAGTTATTGTCTTATGAGATTTGGGGTTACTCTTCGCAGTTTCCCTCACCTGTCGATCCTTGATGGGACATTCTCTGAGGACATAATCACCACTGGTATGTTCTTGAGAGACTCAGATTCCTGCAAAATTAATGATCTTCTATTGTTATTTACCTAACCTCTGATAAAAATAATACAATTAATTGTAAGTTATGATGTTCCTAATGTAAAATTTGGATTCAGGCAAACTTTCATGGCATGGAGAAGAAAACCCTATCAAAATCTTGTAGAATTGAAATTAGATTATTTTCTGTATACAAAATACATCACAAGTCTTTTCTCCATTTGTGGAAAATATCCCAAAAGATTACCTTGATTTTTCTCAGTAGATCGTAGCCTGTCATTCCTGGCATACAGTAATCTGTTATGATCAGGTTCACTTCTAAATCCTGCCAGAACAAGTAACAGTATAATTAGATCAGACTCAATAGATCTAACCCAGATTCATCCCCTGAGAATGCTAAACCTTTGAAGATGGAAAACAATTTGAACCTGATGGCTATCAGCATCAACAGAGACTGTATCTCCCTTTCTCTGTTCATCTGCATTTAAACCAAGAAATTTCAAAGCCTTGCTTCCAGAATCCACTGAAGTAACTGTGATCACAAAAATACATCCACATGAATCAGAAGATATCAAATTAACCCAAAAACACGTACATACATTTATATAATTACATATATATATATATAGAGAGAGAGAGAGAGAGTACCTTGGAAGGATGAGGTCCTGAGGAGCCTCTCAATCAGCATTCTGTCAATGAGACTATCATCAACAGCTAAAACATGAAACTGGGTCTCTGCAGCCATACCCATAATAACTTGAAGATTACGGTGTATGGCAAAAAGCTTGATGAAGATGAAATAGTGCAACTGAGAGGGATGAAGATGATGATGATGATGGTGAGAAATGAGAACGGGACATTTTAAAAGGGCAGCCCATCATGACCAAGAAGATACAAAATCATCCAAGGAAATCTGACAGTTTGGAAAGCGAGATCCGACAGATTTCATTCAGAATCTCCAGGATCTTCTAGGTTGATTTCTAAATTCAAGAAGCAGCAAAGAAGGTGCTGTTTTACTTGCTAATTTTTTTCCATAGAATCATTTCGTTTGACTCTTTAGGTTAATTTATGATTAAAAGTCACTACTCACTATTGGGTTTGCTGTGCCTTTTCAAGAGTCTTGAAGGTCACTGCTCAATAGTGTCAGCATTCCATTCATGCACGTGCACCTACTTTTGAAAATTACAACTCTAATTGTTGTTTGATTAGGAAAATTACATTTAATGTCCCAAACTTGACAAAAAAAAATCCTGCTAGAAGATCTTGAAATTTATAATTAACCTGAGAAGGAATTAACATCAAACTTCACTGAATTTTTTGTAAATTTCTTGGCAATTTTAAGTAATTTTTCTAACAATCTTTTTAAAAAACGAAGAAAGAAAAAAAAAATCGTATCCTAGGTTCATGAAATTTGATACTAATATTGTTGAATTGATACTCATCCAGTGGAGTAATTATATTTTAGAACTTTTAACATAATTTTCATCAAGTTTATGTCCTTAAATGTAATATTTCTTCACACCCCCCCCCCCCAAAAAAAAAAAAAAGAAACGGACGTACTTCGCTGTACGTACTCATATAGGGGGTCCATTAACAAATTTGATGAGCCATTTCTTCACCAACTAAAATCTATATTTGACTAATATTCCTTATAAAATCTGTGCTTCAAATAGTCGGGGAAAAAAAAGTCAAGCATAACCAACTGTTTTTTCAAAGGTGATAAACAAGATTAAAAAAAATAAAATAGAAGATATTTTTAAGATAAAAATATCACCATACTATTATTTTATGAATAGTATCATAAAAATATAACAATATTAAATAATAATTACAATGATACACCAAACATTAAGTTAATAATAGTTGTCATACTAGAAGTTTTAAGATCGTGTAAGTAATTTATATTATTATATTTTATAACTTCCATTCAATTCTTTTTTTGTTTTTCCTTTTGTTTTGCATCATCAAATTGTTTTAATAATATAATACCTTAATTAGTGTTTCCTTCCTTTTTTTTTTTTTTGGCCACAGTGTTTCCTTCCATTCAATTCTTGAAAATCAGTCTAACACTTCAGAACAAAAATTATGCGAAGTTAAACAAGCAAGCAACGAACAATATTAATTATGACGCTTTTTTTGAGATACATTCGTTTTACTTAAAAATTTTAAATTAGTATTGGCTTTTATGTATGTACTTTTTTTCTAAATAAATAAAATAATTCCTCAACATATGCTATCTGAATGGATCAGATCAAAGTCAGCACTGTTCTGGAATGAGAATATATTTTCAAACTCTTCATTTGTTTTCTTTTTTGTTTTTATTTTTAAAAAAGAATGAATTGAGAACATGAGCATGTGGCCAATTGAATAATTGCTGGGATTTCATTTTCCGAATTATCTGACCGAATCATTTGTCAGAATAATCTCTTTTTCTGAGATCATATCCCTCCCTCATGTATCGTGATATTATAATTATAATAGAATCAATTTCGATGCGTATAGATTAATTTCGCTTAAAGTATAAAAAAAATTCAAAAACAAAAGACTTGCAGATTATAGAATATATTAAAAAAAAATCATTGCCGATATTCACAGTTTTTATCATGTAAAACAAATTTAAAATTTACGGAATCAACTATAATTTTTTTAAAAGAAAAAGGATTCATCTGATAATGATTTAAAATAAAGATGTCAAAAGCCATTAGGGATTAGGATCGTCGGATAATTATTTAAAATAATAATGGGTTTTATTTCAATTATTTATATTTCCTCCAATAAAGTCATATCCATGTGCTGACTTTGTTCCATGTCCAACTGGGAAATATATTACAAAATAATATGATTAGTTCAATATAAAAATCAATTATATAAATATAATTCAGAATTTAAAAAATACTTACTCCGTTCAAAAATATAAGACATTTTTTAAGAAATTGAATGTTAAAAAATGTAAGATATTTTTAATTTTTTGAAATGTAATCATTGCTTTTTTTTAAAGTGTCCCTATTAATAATAACTTTATATTTATTATAGATATTTAATAGAAATAAATATGAAAAGATAGGGTTAGTTTAAAGTAGGTAACTACTTTATTGGGGTGAAATTCGGTAAAAAATAAAACTTAGGGAATATATAATAATTATTTTTATTGAATAAATATATACTAATTCTATCAAATACTGTGTTAATAATAATTACTATTACTATAGAAATAAGAATTATTGTTAAAGACAATTGTCTTATCTTTATATGCCTCTCTTTTCCTCCATCCATGCAACCTTCGGTTTCAACCATGGTGTTTAATTTGATTTTGAAAAATAATTCATAAAATTTACTTTAAAATTATAAATTAATAAATATTTACTAAAATAATATCATAAACATTATAAAAAAATAAAAACATTAGTATGCCTGACACTATCTCTAGTTACTTTAAAATGAGACGCAACATGCAAACCATTGGCCAACACTGTTAAAAGGTTTTATATATATATATATATATATATATATATCTATCTATCTAATGGGAGGGGACCAGGTTCTAACATTGTTGAACTTAACTGGAGATAGCTCTTTCAAAAGCATTTTCTGCAATTACATAGACTTAAATTCAATATCTCATTACTAATGAGGTTAGGTCTAACATAAGGGTTAGTACCTCATCACATAATGAATTAAGGTTCAAATCTTTGTTGAAAGATATATATGCATGTAATAGTTGACCTTATCTTGAACAAGATTGCCTTCAATATAAAATATCTGAGTAATAAAAAAAAATTCAAGATCCCATATTTGAACGATTATAATCCATTTTTTACTGTCTTTAAAGGAATTTACTCCTTGCAGCATAAAAAAAAAAAGGGAAAATCATTCTAAGGTCCCGTGGAAGCATTCAAAATACGCTGAAGTCTCATGAATTCATCAAATAGCTACCAGATCTCAAGGGACTTAAGGGTGAATAAGTTTTTAAATGAAATTACTAATTTGTCCTCTACCATTAAAAGGAAATTTTGCTTGAACGCAAATCCCACGAAACCCATGATCAGTGAGACTGAAGATTGATGCATATCCATAATTGTTGATCACGATAGGGTAATTTTCGCTTTCCCATATCTATGATTATTGCCGTTGTCTTTATCTAAGCGATGTGGGAGTGTTCATCCGTAACCGCAGTATTTCATCACGCAACAGAAAACAATACAGTGATTGTTGAGCGAGTAAACGATTTCACATGCGTTAATGATTTTATTATTGTTTAAGGGTAGGATAATGCTTTCTGGGTATGCCTACAATCATTTGATTTGCATAACTAATGGGTATGGATTCATTTGGTGCGACATTGATATGTTGAAAAATATTTGATACGAACAACTTTACATGTTGTCAATAGTGTATTCTTGTGTTGTCAATATGTTATCGATAATTATCGATGCACTGTATTGTACAGGATGACTTGTAAGAATGCTTATACCACCAAAAAACATGTATTATGTTATGTTTTTTTTTCATATAGGGGACATTTTATATTATTCTCAAGCATGTGATGCAAGCTTTTTTGTTGCAAAATCTCTATTGTCCCTCATAAGAATGACTTGTTTGTGCAGGATGACCTCTATAGAAGAAGATAGAATTCTTATGGTGGCTATTGAATCATTGTAACAACTTGAAGGAGCATAAAGCCATGCCCTTGTTAGAAAGATCCTAGGAAAGGAAGAAGAAGAAATAGAAGATTATTGATAAAACTTTAGGATATAACTTTATTGATAATCATGTCCTTTTATATAATTAGCCTATTTCGTCTAGTTAACTTAAACAATGTTATTATGAATGGTGATTACAAGTTTGTAAATGTGACAAATAGTTTGTTTTATTAACTAAATGTTGACAAGTAGCCAACTGTAATTGACAAATGATTTTCAGTTTATTAATAAGCTATGCATTCGCTATTGACTAGTGCCGATACATTAGGTACTGTTATTCCCTTTAAAAATCAACAAATTACAAGAACCTGTTGATTACTTGCCGTTGGCAATTGACTAGTGGTTATCACTATATTGACAAGCTATGCATTTACTATTGACAAGTGCTGATACATAGGGTGCTGTTATTCCCTTTAAAAATCAACAAGTTACAAGTTGATTATTTGCTGTTGGCAATTGAGAAGTGGTTATCACTATATTGACAAACTATGCATTCACCATTGACAAGTGTTAAAACATTAAGTACTATTATTCCCTTTAAAAATCAACTAGTTATAAGAACATGGTGACCACTTGCTATTGGCCATTGACTGCAAGTTATCACTATATTGACAAGCTATGCATTCACCATTGACAAGTGTTAATACATTAAGTGTTGTTATTCCCTTTAAAAATCAACCAGTTACAAGAACCTGTTGACTACTTGTCGTTGGCCATTGACTACAAGTTATCATTATATTGACAAGCTCTGCATTTTTTATTGACAAGTGTTGATACATTAAGTGCAATAATTCCCTTTAAAAATTAACCAGTTATAAGAACTGACTGACTACTTGCCATTGGCCACTGATTACAAGTTATCACTTCATTGAAAAGCTATACATTCTTCGTTGACAAGTGCTGATACATTAGGTGCAATAAACAAAAAAAATAAATTCCAAATACATAACAAAAAAGTACACTTGTCTCTGATATTTTCTAGCATGGATTAGGATTTTTGCAATTCTTGGAGGTATGACCAATCTCATGGCATCTTGCACAATGATAAACCCTTTTGTTTTGGATTTGAGATTCCCTTCTTTTATGCTTTGGCCTACCCAAAGGCCTTATAGTCATTGGTAGCTTCAAGCAGGTTTGGGTTAATAAATTTGTCACCATCAATGCTTATGGACATGGATAGTCATATGTGGCTACCGGCCTCATATTATTGGCATATATCTTCTGTTGAGCGGTTAACTTGTAACATTCATCCACAAAATTATACACATTGCCATAAACTAGCTTGATTGCTGCACATTCATGCACACAAGGTATTCCACTCATCGCCATGCTAAAAAAGAGCATGTATGTGCTACTCATTTGATGATATCATTCTTGTCAACTCTTCATACGTTGTCCGTTTCTTTATTGTTCTTGTTCTAACACTCCCCCCAACATATTGCATACTTCATTGG